AGAAACATCGATGAGAGAGAAACATCGATCAGCTGCCTCCTGCACACCCCCTACTGGGGATGTGCCCGCAACCAAGGTACATGCCCTTGACCAGAATCGAATCTGGGACCCTTCAGTCTGCAGGCCGACGCTCTATCCACTGAGCCAAACCAGTCAGGGTGAGGGGCATTTTTTTGTTTGTTTGTTTTGCTTTTCCATTTAGAATCTACCTCTGCTCTGTTTTAAAAACATTTTTGTGTTCCCCCATCAGGAAATCAGACATTATTGCCATAGCCCCATTTAAAAAATTGTGGCAAAAATATACAATAATAAATTGGTCATTTTGCACATTTAAAGTATATAGTACAGTCGGAGTAAGTACATTCTTATTTTTGTGAAACCATCATTACCATCCATCTCCAGAACTTTGTCATCAGCCCAAACAGAAACTCTGTAGTCATCCTAATATATAAAAAGCCAGGGGCCGTCATGACCGAAACAACAGGACGGACAACCGAACAGCAGGCTGCATGGGGTGACAAGGCTGGCAGGGGGGTTAGTGAGGGATGACCAAACAACTGAACAGCAGGCTGCGTGGGGCAGTCAGACCAGCAGTGGGGTTAGTGAGGGACAACCAAACGACTGAACAGCAGGCTGCGTGGGGTGACCAGGCCGGCAGGGGGGGGCAGTTGGGGGTAGCAGGGGGGGCAGTGAGGGATGATCACGCCGGCAGGCAGAGGCAGTTAAGGGTGATCAGGCTGGCAGGGGGCACAGTTAGGGGCAATCAGGCAGGTAGGCAGGTGAGCAGTTAGGAGCCAGCGGTCCCGGATTGTGAGAGGTGCAGGCTGGGCTGAGGGGACCCTCCCATGCACAAATTTCATGCACCGGGCCTCTAGTTAAAAAATAATTCCCTAATTCCACCTCATCCAGCCTCTCATTACCTCTATTGTTTTTTCTGTCTTTAAAGTATTTATCCATGGCACTTCAAATATGTGGAATTATTCAATATTTGTCCTTTTTTGTATGGCTTATTTAACACAACATGTTTTCAAGTTACATCAATGTTCCATACAATGTTCCATTGTATGTACACAGCACATCTGTTTATCACTTCATCTCTTGATGCACATTTGGGTTGTTTTCACCTTTTGGTTATTCTGATTAATACCTCTTTAAACACAGGTGTACAAATATCTGTTTGAGTCCTTTATTTCTTTAAATTCTTTTGGGTATATATAAATGAAGTAGAATTTCTAGATCATATGGAAATTCTATGTTTAAATTTTGAAAAACTGCCAAATTATTTTCTCCAGTGGCTGCACCATTTTATATTCCTACCAGCAAGGTACAAGGTTCCAATTTCTCCACATCTTCACCAACAGTTGTAATTTTCATTCTTTTTTTTTTTGGATAATAGTTATCCTCATGTGTATAAAGTAGTATGCCACTATGGTTTTGATTTGCATTTTCCTAATGACTAGTGAAATTGAGCATCTTTTCATTTGATGGCCATATATATATATATATGCTTTATAGAAATGTCAAGTTCTTTGCCCATTTTTTAATTGGGCTACTTTTGTTTTTATGAGTTGTAGGAGTTCTTTTTATATTATATATGTTAATCCCTTATCAGATATATGAGTTGAAAATATTTTCTCCCATCGGTGGAATGTTTTTTCACTCTCTTGATAGTGTCCTTTGATGAACAAAAGCTTTTAATGTGTGAGGCTTTTACCCTTTTTGTTGTTGTTGATTGTGCTTTTGATGTCATCTCTAAGAAGTCATTGGCAAATCCAATGTCATGAAGCCTTTTCCCTATGTCTTCTTCTAAGAGTTTTATAGTTTTAGCTCTTACACTTAGGACTTTGATCCATTTTGACTTATTTTTGAATATTATTTAAGGCAAGGGTTCAATTTCAATCTTTTGAATGTGGGAATCCATTTTCTAGGAGCATTTGTTTAAAAAAACCTGTTCTTTTCTCATTAAATGGTATTTTCACCCTTGTTGAAAATCAATTGACCATATATGGGAGAGTCTATTTCAGTGCCATACCCCATTTTGTACAAATAAGAAGTAGGCCCTATAATCCTTTTACAGGTATGTAACAGATACTTTTAAAATATAATTTTATCGATTTCAGAGAGAAAGGGAGAGGGAGAGAGAGATAGAAACATCAATGATGAGAGAGAATCATTGATGGCTGCCTCCTGCATGCTCCACACTGGGGATCTAGCCTACAACCTGGGCATGTGCCCTGACCAGGAAACAAACTGTGATCTCCTGGTTCATAGGTTGATGCTCAACCACTGAGCCATGTCAGCTGGGCTGTAGCACATACTTTCTAATAATGTAAACATATATTGTAGAGAAGGGCTATGCCAGAGGTGCTACCATACATTATACAAGGATATAGCAACAAAAGAAGAAAAACAAATACCACCAAAAAAGATTTAAAGCACATTTTTATTATAGATAGGTAATTGTGGTTTGCTGTGGCTAAAGGTATGCTTATAACATATGTACAAGCTTTTCTATATACCAAAAGTATAATATTTTTCTTTTAATATTGAACTAACATTTCTCTGCCAACAAGGGAAGTCTAAATTGGCTGAGTCTATTTTAAATGGCAAAAGACTGTTTCTTTTTCCTGGATGTTGCTTTAAAGACTAGTACGTTGAATTCTTTTAGGTCCCAACACATGAAACTTAAGAACAGTAAAAGAAAATCAAAGAATACTACAAAATATATAATTTCTATAAAGCAGAAATATAAAGTTTTTATAATTTAAAACAGCAGCAATTTCAAAAGATTTGCTGAATTAAAACTTTACAAAATATATATACATAAAGTATCATTCCAGATGATCATGGGTTTTTAAAAATAGTATATCACAACCCCCAAACTCTAACCCAAACCTACTACTGGATGTAGCTGGCCTATAACAATTTTTTACAACTAAAAAAATAAAACAAGAACAAAAGAAACCTCCCAATTCTCTTGTGATAAGCACAGGTTACAATGTACTGGCTTTGATTCCTATCCACAAAGAGAATTTTAAAATAGAACAATGACTTCACATAAATAATGTTTTACCTGTTAATATGTGATCAAACAAATTAAAATAAGTACTAACAACCAAAACAAATCTTGATGTAACCAGTACATATACTCTTAAAGAATGACAAAGACATAGAAATAAACTTGTCTACAAAAGCCACAAGCACCTTGTTTTAGAAAGAGCACCAAGCAACACAAAAAGGCAACACGTAAGAGGTAGTGTACCACCGGCTAAGATGTATATGCCCATTGGGGACCTGAATACAGCTTAGTATTTGGGAAAATAAGACATATTACACTGTGGTTTATAATTTTAGACAGAAGCATTGCACATATGGGAGCATTAGCCAGTATTGCTCCACAGTGCTCTGCACCTCCAGCTGTCTAATGGGTACTTTGCTCTCAGTCAAAAAATACAGGCTACCCTGAAGAATTCCATGTTTATAAATCTTCAGTTCTAGGGAATTCTCTAAGAAAGCTCAGATCAATATAATTTTTAAAAAATTAAATACTTTATCAATTATAGTCCTTTAAAGAATGACTTTTCTCCATTTGAGGAGAAAGTCTTTTCTTCCTGAGATTCTTTATGATTTAGCCAATGCTTTATTCCATGCATTTCATAATGATAGTATCTTTCTGTCTATATTTCCCCCTCTGCAGCAATTACCTGGCCAACAGCATGAATTCAGAACTAATTCAGAGACCTTAGAGAAAGCACACAGCACTGCTTTCAATGTAGTACTTTTGTTCAGCTTTGAGATGAGGAAGTTTTTGTACTTCAATTACTGGAAGTTGATTAGGGTCCTGGGTGTGAAAAAGGAATTTTGCCTTATGCCATCTGCCATCTTGAATCTGTAAAATAAGAAAAAAATGCTTTAATGTGTAATTGTTTCTTTAGAAGTCATTCTCAGCAGACAACATTTTTCATAGACAATGTAGGCTTATTTTAAGGATTAGAGATAATAAATAGAAAGTGTGTAGAACAATGCCTGGCACAAAGTGCTCAATAAATGGTACAGTTACTATGAATAATTGAAAACACGGACTTATTCCTTTCTCTAAATTACATTGTGTATTCTGATTTTCCAGTCTTAGAGGTTAAGTTTAGCCTTCTGCTTCTGTTGTTTGTGAATTATTAAACCAGATAAAAAATAGAAGTCTGTACTATTTCTAATATAATTAATACTCATCTTGTCTGTATTCCTTTATTTGGGACTAATGCTTTGGGATGGGCATTTTTCTTGAATGAAAGGAAATGAGTTATCTTAACTCTTATGTACTTTAGGCAGAAAATAACCAGGATTGTTCCAGTCAGGAGTAAATTATAATTCTGTTAAATTATCTTTTAGGTTTCTGCTCCCCACTCCCCCATTCTGTGGTTACTATTCATATAGTTTCTTTCCTGTCCTCCTTCTAGGACTTTCTGTTTTTATTATTACTATATGCTCTTTGGTTTCTGATAAATTCTATTATTGAACAAAAAATACCATTAAGTAGCCTATTATTAAGATTCACTAAAACAAAATAGAGAAACACAATTGACTAGTTCAGTGAAGCTTTTTATTCAGGAGTTTATTCACTTACTTATTCACCAAATTATCATGGTTTAAATTTTAAAATTTGCAGGAACTTTAGAGATGATTTAACTTAAGGCAATTGAAGCTTACAGAAGGTAAATTACTAAAGTCATAAGCTAGATGTGAGAACTAGAATTAGAGTTTGGTATGTAAGACATTGACAGATTTAACTTATTAAATCTTTTAAGCAATATTTATTGAACACTACGTATATTTGTACAGTTGAAGAAGATGTGATCCTCTATTTTATTACAGTGCTTGAGAAATATAAAGATGAATAAATTAATATGGCTTCTGAATTTTACCAGCTTATAAATCTAGGTGGTGAGAGGAAAAACATAAACAAATAGCCATAATACAAGACCATACATGGTTAAGTGCAGTATAAATAATGTACAATGAGGACTGAATTCCTCATTTCCAACTGGAGTAGTCAGGGAAAGCTTCATGAATTTAGAATTTGAGATGGGCCATTTTGTATGCCTAAAATTTCCACCTGGTGGAGAGACAGAGGAGGGCATTCAGAGGAAGGAAATGACATGAGCAAAACAAAACAAAACAACAATTAAAACAACTGGAAAAGTAGAAGGTGGTTGTAAAAGTAATCCTAACATGGGGTTAAGTGCACGGATTTTGTCCTGGAAGAGATAGTAATAGAAAGCCAGGTACCACCATTTCTTCACCTATAAAATGGGAATAATAAAAAACTACCTCATAGGGTTGTGAGGATTAAATGATATTTTAATTAAAAATCCCTACCAGTATAGTGTGGCATTAGCTGCATGATCTCTGCCTTTGCTTTCTTAGCTATAAAATGAGACTAATAATTTTTTCACAAAGCTGTTATAATTAAATAAAATAATGTATGTGATACATGGTACCTGCCATATAATAAGCCCCCAATAAGTAGGAATTGTTGATATGATGATGATGATGATGATGATGATGAAGAATAGATCAGTTGGCCATAGTTTAGGGTAGACAGCGAGTGAAAGCCCAAGCTGGAAATGTAGGTTGGGACTGACTGTTCTAAGTGCTGAATAAAGAGCTGATAAGTTTGGATTGTGACTCAGAGATAGTAGCGAGTCCCTGAAGGTTTCTGGACAAAATTGTAAAAGTTAAGTGAATTTGTTGGTAAAATTGATCTCTTCACTGATACAGAATGGGCCATATACTTCTGACTGTCTATGATTTTTCAAATACTCATGCACTACTTATCTGGAAATGTTATGAAAATGTAGTGTTCCCTGGAAATTGTAACAGGTATCAAATTATGGGCTTCACAGTACACAATACAGAACACTTAAAGTCATTAGTAATATGTATGTAAAGCAGACAACTCTATTCCCTGTAACAGGAGTTGGCAAACTCTTTTGTAAAGGGCTAGATAATAAATGTTGTAGGTTCTGTTGCATTTACTCAATTCTGCTATTGTAGTATGATAACAGGTATCTATCTATCTATCTATCTATCTATCATCTATCTATCTATCTATCTATCTATCTATCTATCTATCTATCATCTATCATCTATCTATAAAAGCTTAAGCAACCAAACGACCAAATGATTGGTCGAGTGGTCGCTATGATGCACACTGACCACCAGGGGACAGATGCTCAATGCACAGGATCGGGCTCCCTCCTGTCTGGATTGGGCCTGCAGGGATCAGGCTGAAACTGGCTATCCAACATCCCCCAAGGGGTCCTGGATTGCAAGAGGGTGCAGGCCAGGCCAAGGGATCCACCAGTGCATGAACCGTGCACTGGGCCTCTAGTAGATAATAAATAAACAAAGGAGTATGGCTGTATTCCAATATTTATTTACAAAAACAAGTGGTAGGCTGAATTTGGTCTGTAAACTGTAGTTTGTTCATATCTGCCCTATATCAAAATATTTTAAAATTATAGAATTTTCATAACTTTCATTATTTATTTTTAGTAAAAAAGGCTATAATTCAAATATTGATTAGTAGGGCCAGTCAATCTGCAATTATGCCCATATTTGATATCAGGTATAGAAACTGAAAAAATGAAGTAAAACTGACTTGCCTTTATAACCTGTTTTTCCATGAAGTAATGAGATGTAGAAGCACAGTGGTGAAATATATAAAAGAAATCTATTTATCTATGTGCCCTATCTATCATCTATCTATTATCTATCTATCTATCTATCTATCTATCTATCTATCTATCTATGATATAATTATCTCATATAGGAAATAAAAATTAAAAGTTAAATTTATGTATTAACACCCATTTTGCATATGAAATCTATGGATGACCAACGGATGTGACTAAAGTTGACAAGACTTGACACAAGCAAATGACTGATTTTGAAAAATATAGGGTGATTATAAATCAGAACGTTAACACCTGCTACACTTCTGTATCAGCAGTTTGTAATTAAAGTCTTATTCTCATTATTTTAATTTTATAGTTTTATCAATTTTCAGTTAGTTAGAATGAACAATTCTAAAAGTGCCATTCCCTTACCTTGCAGTCATCTGAAAGCACTTTAGGTTCAAGTAGAGTGTTTTCTTCAAAAATCTGGCCATTCCATCCCTTGAAACCAATAGGCAATCCTGAGCCACTTGTCTGAGCACTTGTCCACACTGTAGTGTTTAGACAGTGAATGGTGATGATTTGGGTGGCTTCTGAGCTCAGTAAATGAAGAAAATTCATCTGGACTTTTCCAACTCCAAACTCCAACTAATGTCATGGAAACAATATGCATGTTATAAGACGTGGCAATTGAGAAACGTATAGTTTGGGGAAACTTGAGAAAAGTCCTTGGAACATAGCCTTGAGAAAGCTACTTTTCTTGGCATTTAAATGCCAGTCAGCGGTGTGCTGGTAAATGCTTAACCACTGGCTCTTGCAGGGGTGGGGATTAGAGGTAGGTGGGTGGGAATTCCTGATTTATAGCATTGTCTGATTTCCACGGTGTGAAAACTCCCAGGATGGTTGATTTCAGGCTATCAAGGTGGCATCATTGAACAGGGAGTGAGGAAGAGATGTTAACTATAGGCTCTCCAGGGCCAGTCTGAGCTGGCTTCAGCAGACCACTAAGCTTCCAGACAAGACAAAAAAAGAAATGAAGACAGATTTCATAATGCTATCTAAAATGCATTAGTAATTTGTTGTTGATTAATGCTTTACTAATTTTTTCATAAAAATCATAAATTCTGTCTATACTTCCATTTGTAGGATTTTTTAAAAGTTTCTAAAGATAAGCTACAAATTGTAATGATAGCTTGGTTGAGTAACTGTAACTGAGAGCCCTATATTCTTTGTGTTGCCAGCTCTAATGCAGTTCCAGTCATATAGTGAGTCATCAATACATATTTATTGAATGAATGCATGAATAAGCATTAACTAAAAAAGTGAATAATATAGGGCAAAACTGGAGCAAGGGTCTGATTGTATATTTTCAAGGCTTAGGCAAAGAAGTAGATTTTTCTAAAGCTTTAGACATATTATTATTATTATTATTATTATTATTTTAGCACTATTCATGTAGAGATGTGATCATAACATAAGTGAATAGAAATGGTTCCTACTGAGGAATTTATATTAAATTTCAAACATAAAATTAGAAAAATATCAGGTAGGAGGTAATAGAGAAGGAAAAAATAAAACAACAACATAAAAAGTAAAGCCCCAGGAAAAGAAAGGAAAGACAAAGTAAGGACATAGGATGAAAGCACGAAAGGATCATCATAAGGAACATTAGAGTCTAAGTAGTTCAAATGCCTTCATTTAACAGATGAGACTCACAAACTTGTAAAAATTTAAACTTTCTAAGCCTTAGTCTCCATGTTAATTAAGCTGGGTATAAAATGGACATGGCAGGATTGTTATGAGGATCTGAGGTGCCAAGTGTCATTGACCTAGAACAGTGTTCTAGTGGCTCACAGTATCATTTCCCAGATTAGTAGCAGACTAGAGACTAGAACCCAGGTCCCTAATTTTAAGTCAACTTTGCTTTCCACTACCTTCCCAGTCTTTCTCAGGTTGAGGTTATGGATAGGAGAGATGGGAGAACTGATTCAGTCTCCCAGAAATAAGTGCACTGCTCCTATCTCCTTTGCATTACCCCTGCCTCCCTTTCTTCTATGGGCTGAATCCAGGGGAGTGAAGATGATAATGTGAATATTTGGGAAGCAGGACTATCATGCCACTCTTCATTAGACATGTACAAATTCCCTAAAAATGAAGAATCCTTCCTTCCTCTGCTTTGGGCTTAATAATGGTAAATGC